TTTAAATTAAAAATTGATTTTTAACTTTTTTTATCATCAACATTTCTAGATTTTGCGTTTTACATATTATGTATTTATCTTTTTACGTTAATACTAAATAATATTTCGTTAAAAAAAATGATTTAYAATATATTATATTAAATATATCTGGAACTGTGAGTACCTACATAGGTAAAAGGAGAATTTATAACTCATCTGAAAAATCTTAAACATCCCAATCCTAAATTTGAAATAACCTATTAACATGACATGAACACTATATTATTATATAGGAAGGTAGGTAATATATTATACTATATCATGATACGCACGTATTGTGTTTGTGACGGGGCTTTCATCGGTTGTTCACARTAATAACTCTCTTTGTTCATATTATAAATAATTCTACTGCACTATATATTATTATGGATTTTCGTAGTAACCATGTATACTTATGTATACGTATATATAATTACGTAATTTTGCTTTTCCAACGAGTTGTAGTCTGTGTAATTTAATTATGTAAAGTCGATGCTAAATTGCGAAGTTCTGTCATATCGTACACAAGCTCATAATATACAAGCAGTAGTAGGTGATAACAATATATTATGTTAATAATAAAATTTATTATTCAATATGTACCGAAATGGCTATAATATTCTGTATAACGTCGTCATTTTAAAAAGACAAAAATATCTGCTGTTTATCTCACCACAAGATGTTCAGTATTCGATTCAGTAAATATGTGATACTACAACATTATGTCAATTTAAGAACAGTTTAGTTTTTAGATTTGTATTAATTATTTATTTTACCGGGGTCGTATTGCTTCAAATGATTATAATAATGTACTCTTAACTGTGATGTCGAGGGATATAATACAATTCAATATTTACAATATTATTTTAGTCTATCCACATCGATAGTTTTTGATTGAACCACAGTAATATTATCAKGACTTAAAATTGAAAAAATTTTGAAATTTTAATTTGAAATTTTCTTTTTACAATAAGTTTTTTTCCTGATATAAATTTCAAAAAAATAAATTGGTCTTACAGTTACATTTTTTTTTTTTGAATTTTTTTCTTAATTTTATATAAATATATTTGACCCAGCAAATGTTGTTTTGCTATATAAATTATTTCTAGGGAATTTATAGTGTAGAAAAAACTATAACTAACTTATTGTAAATATGTGAGGATGTGGCAAATGAGTAAAAATTTTAATTTTTTTCGCATTAATGAACGGTTTCAAATTTTTATGGTTGATATATTACTTTGATTTTTATGTACGAACATATTATAACTATAAGTAGGTACGTCCAGATGATCATCTTTTGTGGAAACTGTTTACTCGTCGTTACACAAGGCAGCGAAACGGTCCTAAAAAAACAAACCTATCTACCAATAAAAATATAATTATTTAGTCTGTTGGTTATTGTTGATTTAGCAAAGCAGTTAAAGAAGTTGCAATACAACATGTAGGAAAAATAAAATGTTCTAAGAAAAAATGGTGTAATGAAGAATGCCGACAAGCAGTAGAGAGACGAAGGATTGAAAAAAAATAGAAAGATTAAAAAATAAATAAATATATATATAAATAAATAATAAATAATAATAAATAAAAAAAATAAAAAAAATAATAGTAAAAATAATAAATAAATTAAAACTATTATTTTGCGATGCAACTTTTATTAAATTAAATGAAAAAAGTATTTCAAAAGTATTTAAATACATGGAAAACTATTAATTTTTGAATTTAAGTACTTTCTGAATAGATGTATTTTTTAAATATACAATTTTGTAATGATCTTTTATAAGATTGTATATAATATAGGTATAATATATATATATATATATATACATATACAAATAATCAAATAATATATTGTTTACAATAAAAAATATATGAAATACAATTAATATATTATGTCAATAAAATAATAAATTGTTATAGTGTTAGACTGTTAGAGGTAGATTCTTATAACTCACTATTTTTACAAAATCCAAAATTAGATATTTCCAAGCTTTTTAATTTTTAGTTTGGATTTGAATAATTTTCTTTATTCACTTGTTTTTTTTGTTTTCTGAGGAATACAAAGTATAGATTGAATTTTTATTTTATCATCTGTTTGGCATTACTTTAAAATATTGAAGAATAGAAATATACTTGGATGGTATGTATAAAATAGTGGATTGAATTTATAATGAAAATTTATCTTTAATAGACTGGAAATTGTAAATACGATAGTTATATTTATGTCAAAATATGTATTATACGCGATCGAGATATTTATTTAATTTTAATAACCACTGAATATAGTATTTCCTAACTACTATGTACGGGTTGCAATCGGGATAGGTGAAAAGGTAAAAAGGTTACTATGGGCTGCAATCGGACGGAGCCCATAAATACTTTCTAACAGCAAATAAATAACCAAAAACA